GCGGCCATGTCGGGGTCATCGATGGCTGGTACTCACGCCTCGGCGGTCGGCCCGACAGCTCGGTAGTTTGCCGTAGTGCTGATGAGCTCGGTCTCCTCGTAGTCCTTGTTGACGCCATCTCGCCGCTCTCTCGCTCGGTCTCGGTACTTCTCGGCGAGCTCGCGCTCACGCTCCATCTCCTGCTGACGCAGCTTCGCATAGTAACTGCAACCAAACCATAGCTGATCAATAATCAATAACGTGCATTTGAGGGTCAGAGCGGCGCCATCTGAGACCCTGAGTGCTGTGGACTGCTCTATGTGTCGACATATTTAACGCTCTCGTGCACATCACAGGTGAAAACGTCTGTCCAGGCTTTTTATTATTAATAATAAAAACTGTTAAATGTCGTGAACATTCATTCCTTTCCTTCCAGAATATTCCCGTGTTTCCACAATCCCGTCATAATCCCGGCTAATGTTAACAGTCCTGTGATGCGCCCAGCTGCCATCTTTCACTCAGCGAGCTATCAGTTCTGTGGAGGCCAGGTGACCTTTGACCTGCAGTTTTCTGATGTAACAAACGTCCAATCGGCACCCACCTCTTCTTCTTTCTCCTCCTCGCTGCGGGGTCCTCATCCTCGTTGTAGTCCCTCGGCATTCTGGGAAATTAACAATACAGACATGTCAGCTGTGCTGCGAGTAAACACCCGTCTGCTCTCTCCGTGACATCACTCACTCATGATGTCTGGACTTGGAGGGTGGGGCCGAGGAGGGCGTTGCCCGCGGCGTCATCAGCAGCTTCCTGAAGTCATCATTGGTCAGTTTGGACCTGAGGACAGATGGGCACACACACATTAAAACAAAGAAATACACAGTAACACAGCAGTAGCAGCGAGGAGTGTGTATCAGTGTGTGTGTGACTCACTGAGCTGCAGCTCGGTGGTCGTCCATGTCGTGGCCCTCAGGAGCCAGAGGGTTGGAGTACGTCTCAGCTGCAAGACAGGCAGATGTTAGAGCACAGGCAGATGTTAGAGCACAGGCAGATGTTAGAGCACAGGCAGATGTTAGAGCACAGGCAGATGTTAGAGCACAGGCAGACAGCGGGGCCGCCTCGTTTAAAAGGACACAGCTGGGAGCTGCTCTGCTCTTTATATGTTCCCTGTTTCACACTGAAACAAATAACTGCAGATTTCATGGAAACTATTTGATTTCGACGTAAACCGGCTTGGCCCATATGTAGAGGGACTCCTTCCCTGTGCTACAGTTTTACTAACAACCTCTCAGCAGACGGAGCAAGGCCGCTTTAAAGCGGCAGAAGTGTGAGCGGAGTCTGGTGTGGCGCAGTGAGAGGAGAAGCTTGGCTAATAGCTGCTGTCAGAGGCTTTTTCTGTTCAACTGTTCGGTCCAGTTCAGCACTCGTGCTCCCAAAGCCGTGTTTATTTCAATAATGTATCGAATAATTGCTGTTTTTATTGCATCTGTTTTTAAGTAAACAAACAGCTAACGGCTAACAACCCGTAAAATGACTGTTAGCATGCTAACATGCGGAGCTAACGCTTACTTTCAGGCATCTCTGCGGGCAGCTGCTTCTCCTGCGGTCTGAATCCGGCACGGTCCGGTCACAGGGACAAACTAAGGCTCGGTGTTCGGGTTTCTCTGAGCTGCTGCGAGTCTCTTTGCTCCAGCCAAGCTCCGAGTTAGCTGTGAGGAGAGCTACCGTGCTGTGACGTCACGTCCGTTTTAGTTAGAGAAGAGACACAGCACCTCCTGCAGGAGGAGAGGAGACACCGCAGGACAGACAGCGGCGTCAATGAACACCGCGAGATAAAAAACACAACAAAATTGTACAAATCCGGTTAAAATGAGTTGAAAATAGGAAATAAATAAAAAAAATAAAGTTATAATAAAATACAGGCCAAATACTGTCTGTGTTTAAAGATCATTTTCATGTAGTTTAAATAAGGAGTTCTTTGATTTGATGGAGGAAAGGTTTGTTCTGCGTCACGGAGGTTTTTATTCACAGCTCAACTTTGTTCCTCACACACTGAAACACCCGCAGCTCTCCTGCCCGGTCACGTGTTGTTTCTCTGGCTCACAGCGCCCCCCGCAGGTCAGCGGAGCCACAGCTGAAGGTTCTCCAGGACCAGCTGGTGCTCGCTGCTGCGCCACCTTCAGGACTCACACAGCTTCACTCAGAGCTCCTTCAACAAACTCCAGATAACCAGCAAAGTGTTTGTTTCACTGAGCCTGAACCATCTAAACCAGTCAGACCCAAACAAACCCTCTAATTCCAGTAAAATCACATAAACCTGCCAAGAGGCAATGAAACTGAGTCTGTTCCCATTAAGAAACCTTAAAACCAGTTAAACTACGTGATCCTCCTAAAATATCAGTTAACTTCCTGTACATTTATACACTCAGAGTAAAAATATCTGAAATCCAGTTAAATGCTCCCAGGAAACTCGTTTTAAACCCACTAAGAGCAAATTAAACTTCTTATTGCTAATTTCAACATAAACAGCCTGTGAAATAATCTGACTTTAACTCGGGAAAAACTTTGGATGTGTCAATAAACTCCCAGTAAACCCACAGGAGCCCTGCTGATGGACCCAGTGACCTCACAGTAAACAGAGACCTTCACATGTTCTCTTTATTCACATCAGCACATTTACAGAAACAAAAACAGGTCAGTGAATGGACTGAACCACTGCGGGCTCAGACGGGGGTCAGGGCTTGGACTGAACCACTGCGGGCTCAGACAGGGGTCAGGGCTTGGACTGAGCCAGAGTCTGCAGAGCTTTGGCCACCTGATCAGCTGACATGTTCTCCACGGAGACGCTCGTCTCTTTCCCAAAATCTGAACAGAGACAGGGATCAATAACAGGTCAATACACAGGTGACGCATCTGAGTGTCCTGTGATGCGGAGCGTGAGGGGGGCTCACCGTATCGGGCCCAGAGCCGGGCCTGGACTCCAGAACACTCCCGGATCAGGATGGGGAATTCCGGGTTGGACCTCTTCAGGGTCACGTAGTTCTGCTCCACAAACTCTCTGAAACACAGGGGGGAGGGGGGAAGGTCAGCTGACCTGTGACCTCACAGCAGGTAGCCTAAAGCAGATGACTCGTAATCTGGAGAGGAAATGGCGTGTCACAAATCTAGAGGATCATCATTTAGCCTGGAGAAATAGTTTGCTGCTTTATAAGAAAGCCCTCCGCAAAGCCAGAACATCTTACTATTCATCACTGATTGAAGAAAATAAGAACAACCCCAGGTTTCTCTTCAGCTCTGTAGCCAGGCTGACAAACAGTCAGAGCTCTGTTGAGCCAACCATCCCTTTAACGTTAACTAGTAATGACTTCATGAACTTCTTCACAAATAAAATTTTTATCATTAGAGAAAAAATTACCAGTAATCATCCCACAGATGTAATATTATCTACAGCTACTCTTAGTACCATTGATGTTAAGTTAGACTCTTTTTCTCCAATTGATCTTTCTGAGTTAACTTCAATAATTACTTCCTCCAAACCATCAACGTGTCTTTTAGACCCCATTCCTACAAAACTGCTCAAAGAAGTCCTGCCATTAATTAATTCTTCGATCTTAAATATGATCAACCTATCTCTAATGATCGGCTATGTACCACAGGCCTTCAAGCTGGCTGTAGTTAAACCTTTACTCAAAAAGCATCTCTAGACCCAGCAGTCTTAGCTAATTATAGGCCAATCTCCAACCTTCCTTTATATCAAACATCCTTGAAAGAGTAGTTGTCAAACAGCTAACAGATCATCTGCAGAGGTTTATTTGAAGAGTTTCAGTCAGGTTTCAGAGCTCAGCACAGCACAGAAACAGCTTTAGTGAAGGTTACAAATGATCTTCTTATGGCCTCTGACAGTGGACTCATCTCTGTGCTTGTCCTGCTAGACCTCAGTGCAGCGTTCGATACTGTCGACCATAATATCCTATTAGAGCGATTAGAACATGCTGTAGGTATTACAGGTACTGTGCTGCAGTGGTTTGTATCATATCTATCTAATAGACTCCAGTTTGTGCATGTAAATGGAGAGTCCTCTTCACACACTGAGGTTAATTATGGAGTTCCACAGGGTTCAGTGCTAGGACCAATTCTGTTTACATTATACATGCTTCCCTTAGGCAGCATCATTAGAAGACATAGCATACATTTACACTGCTATGCAGATGACACCCAGCTCTATCTGTCCATGAAGCCAGATAACACACACCAATGAGTTATCTATTTATTTATGAGTGAAGTATGTATGTGTATATATGTATATATTGTACTATTCTTAGTTAGTGTATTGTCTGTCTTGTCTTAATGTTGGTTTAAAATGGAGCACTGTAACAAAAAATAATTTCCCCCAGGGATTAATAAAGTATTCTGATTCTGATTCTGATTAAACTGCAGGAATGTCTTAAAGACATAAAGACCTGGATGGCCGCTAACTTTCTGCTTCTTAATTCAGATCAAACTGAGGTTATTGTACTCGGCCCTGAAAAGCTTAGAAATATGGTATCTAAGCAGATTCTTACTCTGGATGGCATTACCTTGGCCTCCAGTAACGCTGTGAGGAACCTTGGAGTCATTTTTGACCAGGACATGTCCTTCAACGCACATATTAAACAAATATGTAAGACTGCTTTCTTCCATTTGTGCAACATCTCTAAAGTTAGAAATATCCTGTCTCAGAGTGACGCTGAAAAACTAGTTCATGCATTTATTACTTCCAGGCTGGACGACTGTGATTCATTATTATCAGGAAGTCCTAAAAACTCCCTGAAAAGCCTTCAGCTGATCCAAAATGCTGCAGCAAGAGTCCTGACAGGGACTAGAAAGAGAGAGCAGATTTCTCCTGTTTTGGCTTCCTGTTAAATCCAGAATTCAAAATCCTGCTCCTCACATACAAGGTCTTAAATAATCAGGCCCCATCTTATCTTAATGACCTTGTAGTACCATATCACCCTATTAGAGCACTTCGCTCTCGCTCTGCAGGCCTACTTGTTGTTCCTAGAGTATTTAAAAGTAGAATGGGAGGCAGAGCCTTCAGTTTTCAGGCCCCTCTTCTGTGGAACCAGCTTCCAGTTTGGATTCAGGGAGACAGACACTATCTCTACTTTCAAGATTAGGCTGGGGTGGCTGTAGCTCAGGTGGCAGAGCAGGTCAGCCACTAATCAGAAGGTCGGTGGTTCGATCCCAGGCTGCCTCCTGGCTGCATGCCAAATATCCTTGGGCAAGATACTAACCCCATGTTTGCCTACTGGTGGTGGTCAGAGGGCCCGGTGGCGCCAGTGTCCGGCAGCCTCGCCTCTGTCAGTGCGCCCCAGGGCAGCTGTAGCTACAATGTAGCTGCCATCACCAGTGTGTGAATGACTGAATGTAGTGTGAAGCGCTTTGGGGTCCTTAGGACTAGAAAAGTGCTATACAAATGCAGGCCATTCAAACTTTCCTTTTTGCTAAAGCATATAGTTAGGGCTGGACCAGGTGACCCTGAATCCTACCTTAGTTATGCTGCAATAGACGTAGGCTGCCGGGGGATTCCCATGATGCATTGAGTTTTTCCTTTCCAGTCACCTTTCTCACTCACTATGTGTTAACAGACCTCTCTGTACGCCGAGGCGTCCGCTCATCAGACGGCGTCCTCTGCAGGACGTTCGGTCAGAGGGACCCTGAACCTGCAGGTGAACTACAACAAAATGAAAAATAAAGCATGGCCGCTGTTTATTCATCTGCTCATCATTATTCTGTTACTAATGAACGGATTGATCCATAAATCAATACTCTGTCACGTGTCAGTGTTTCCCTCACATGACCAGATTACCAACAGTCTGCGTGCTCTTATTTTGAAGGGTCAGTCCCTGCTAATGGGCAGCGAGGAGATGAAGGAGCTCCTTAATCTGACCTCCAGCTCCTCGTCTCCTCCATAACCTGACTCCTGCTGCAGGTCAGCTCTCTCTCCTCAGCTAATCACAGCGTGACGATGATGAAATCTCCTTCACCTTCATCTGTCTGTGGTCCTGGGGGTTCACACGGGTCACAGCCGTGAGTCATACTGTGATCATGGATCCCGAGTGGCCGGCTCAGGTGTGTGTGTCACTGCGCAGACTCAGAGGTCTCCACCATGAACAAACATCTGGAACATAAACTACATAAGACTCACAGCTGAACATCTGCAGGAGCCAGGGCTTCTGTCCAGATGTGAGTCAAACCTCTGCCTCGGTGTGTTTCCTTTAGCAGCTTTGTTGTTTACTGAACTGCTGCTCTCATCTCTCTTTATGAGTCTTCACGTGCTCAGACACATTTATCCTGACAGCACTCACAGGGGTCAAACCTGCAAACCTCTCACTGTAAACCCGAGTTAGCTAGCTGTTAGCCGCTAGCTGTTAGCCGCTAGTTGTTAGCTGTCCTTCGCTAATGACCGCTCTGTAAAACCATCACCGGCTCTTCTCGCCTCAGCAGCCCGGCTCTGAGCTCACCTGGCCCCCTTACTGGCCGCGGAGGTCTGGCAGAGATGCAGGCGGATCTCTCGGAGGTTTTTACCCAAAGTGGAGCCCAGACTCCTCACCACGGCGGCCGCCATCTTAGCTTCCTGTCAAGGACGCAGTGTGTCACTGCAGCCCCGAGTTTATCCTGACAGGAGCAACATTCAACCCCGAGTTTATCCTGACAGGAGCAACATTCAACCCCGAGTTTATCCTGACAGGAGCAACATTCAACCCCGAGTTTATCCTGACAGGAGCAACATTCAACCCCGAGTTTATCCTGACAGGAGCAACATTCAACCCCGAGTTTATCCTGACAGGAGCAACATTCAACCCCGAGTTTATCCTGACAGGAGCAACATTCAACCCCGAGTTTATCCTGACAGGAGCAACATTCAACCCCGAGTTTATCCTGACAGGAGCAACATCCAACCCCGAGTTTATCCTGACAGGAGCAACATTCAACCCCGAGTTTATCCTGACAGGAGCAACATTCAACCCCGAGTTTATCCTGACAGGAGCAACATTCAACCCCGAGTTTATCCTGACAGGAGCAACATTCAACCCCGAGTTTATCCTGACAGGAGCAACATTCAACCCCGAGTTTATCCTGACAGGCAGACACTGTTTTGAGTGGTTTCTCTGGTCGTTTATTACAAACAGTTAGCTCTTAAATAAATTCACAAAGTATCTCAAATCATATGTCAAATAACTCAATTATGTTTCACAAGATTTTACTATTTTAATGATCCATAATGGTGAAAAACACCTTTAAGCACAGATATATTTTACTTTAAATGAACCTGAGCTGCTGTTTCACTGCAGATTAAAGACTGATGAATGATATCTACACATCAGTCAGCAGGTGTGTGATGTTGCTCTGGCCAGCAGGGGGCGTTGCCAGCTCCCCTCACAGGGAAACTCTCCCAGGTAGTGTCAGTGATTTCCAGTAAGACCGGTGGCTCCAGCGTTCCCCAGACCCCCTGTGAAGGACTCTGATCATCAATCAGTTATCAGTTACAAAGAGATCAGTTAGTAACATCAGCCGTGACATCAGCCGTGACATCAGCCGTCTCCCAGAGATGAAGAGGAGAGTCTGCTCCTCCACACTGAGATGACTGTGTCTGACGGAGGATCGGATCAGGACAGGGTGGAGTTCCTGTCTGTGGTTGGGGATGCTCTGGTGGAGGTCTTCTCTCTGCAGAGCTGCCCAGTCTCAGCAGTCTGGGAACCACAGATTCATGTTGGGGATAAACTGGTGAACAGTGGACGGACACGTGACTGCTCTGGTTATGAACGTGACTGGTTCCAGAGTGATTTTTACATTCTGGTAGAAAGAGGAGGGATGTGAACATCTAACTTACTTTTTCTTTTCTGATCTAATAATTCATTTTTTCTGTTTCTGTGTTTCTTTTGTTATATTTGGGTTTGTGGGCTGTTTGTGTCTGACCATCTGTTCCCAGGCTGATGTTCTTCATCGTCCTGAAATGACTCACGCTGCTCTGAGAACACATTTACTCACAGTTTAGTCTCGGTGGACCCGCGAGCGGGTTTTTATGTTTTGATTGTTTTCTGGAGGAGACGGAGGGACAAACACAGAAAGTCAAACCATGTGTGACGTGTTTTCAAAGCAGTCAGCTTTTTCCACTGAGCGCTCCCAAACACGAAGCAATTCATCTGATCTGGATTCAGTTTGATGTCCCACAGACTGCAGCTGGAGGACAGTTTACCGGCAGAAAAATATCTGCGACAGCCTAAAGACACGAGACACAAACAGAGATCTGATCCTGATCGTATCCAGCATGAAGCCGCACGCGTCCCACAGGACGATTAGCTTTAACCAGCACCAACATCACCGACAGCATCTCAAACACTGAACAGAACAGTTAGACTCCTGCACACAAAGTCATCTATGGTGCACCTCTGTGAAGGCCCCGTCAATGCTGAACCATATCTGCAGGTGCAGGAGCAACATCTGCTTCCATCCCCAAACAGCACTCCAGCAGCACGGCTCCAGACTGACCTGAGAACAGGCCACACCTTCACTGCAAGCATCTGCAGCCTCATGAAACCAAAATACAACAAAACAGACGCTGAGATCAACACCAAGGAAACATCAGGTTTCAGCTCAGAGGGGACAGCATGAGACGCTGTTTATCAAAATCAATAACACTGATCAGTTTGTTCCTGTGCTCTCGGTTTCTATTAAAGGATTCACTGCTTTTATTTTCATGGTAAAAACAGGGCTGGATTTTATTTTGACTTCACAAACAGAAATCATCAGTCGGGTTTCAGAGAAGACAAAAGCACAAAATGTTCCTGACACCAGAAAGCGTGAACGTGATCCAGATGTTCATGATTCAGAGGCACAGCAGCAGCTGGATGAGACTTTATTCAGAAACAGGATTATTGGTACAAACATCATGATGGTGAAACAGACCCGGGGCCTTCTGAGGATCGAGTCCACGCTCGCGCCTCTCGTGGACGAAGGCCGCTCCGAGCACAGGTGGAGGTTGTTTCAGTCTGTTTCTCATTAGCGTTAGCAGGAAGTGTGACGTCGCACGTGTCGGGACGAGCAAATGGCCAGGGGAAATCTGCGCTCAGTGCTTCCTGTCAGTCCGGCTCGCTCTGATGCGGCTTTGCCGCCGCAGAAGGTCCTGCCGTCGTTTCTCGTTCAGGAGCTGCTGGATGCGTTTGTTATGCGTTCGCTCGTGGACCTGAGGCATCCGCGGCACAAAGTAATTCTGCTGTCCTCGGCTAACGTCGCTGTCAAGTCCGACGATCTGGTACTGGACCTCGTCCACCGAGTTGTTCTCTTTCTTTGATAGCGAGAAGAAGGACGATGAAGGTAGCGCCGGTTCAGCTTCGGTCAGGTTGACTTGACTTTGGAGGCTCCGCCTTCCTGAGGATGTGGTGTTGTCACCAGGATCAGGCGATGATGTGGTGGAGAACTCTGGGATGGCAGAAGTCCAAACCAGCGCCGGCGTTTGGTCTTCAGTGTCAACAGTCTCCATGGTAACTGCAACAGGGGGCATTGTGGGAGAATTCTTCCTGAACACATGTGTTGGAGCAGTTTGTGTGGTAATAGTATTACTGTCAGTGGTGGTTGGAGTACCCGGAAGCTCATTCAGGCCGGAGGAATCCTCGTAGGAAGAGTACTCGCTGTACTCATCATAATCCACGTAGACAAAGTCACCGGTGCTCCGTCTGGTTGGGGGTGGAGTTACAGTGAAGCTGCGCGTCGGGGTGGTGGTGATGATGTCACGAAAGACATCACTGATGGCATGGCTGCTGTCGGACCAGGTAGAGGTGAGCGCTGACGTCATGATCTCTGTGGTCAACCTCCAAGAACTAAAAAGACAAAAACAGAGTTCAGGTCTATGGCCCCGCCCTAAACCCGCCCCTGCTTCCTGCTTTAAATGAACACTTCAGTGTAAAGCCAATCAGCAGTTTCACGGTCAGCTCACTCCTGCTCTACACTTTTATTTTCAGCTTTGTCGATGTATCACACGTTTGTCTGACTGCAGGTTTTGCTCCGTGCTTGAGACTGGGACTCAGTTATATCTTTCTAAGACTCCTTTTGTTACCCGTCATGTCTGACCTGCTGTTCTCCATCAGTGTGATGGTGCCACTGAAGTTGCTGGAGATTCTGGATTTCGTGGCATTGTTGAAGTTATCCTCACTACAGGACTTGCAGCACATCTGGCGGTATCTGATGATAGAGCAGTACCGACTCAGCACCTCCATTCGACAGAACGCCGAGCGGTCGCCGCGGCACGGCTGCCCTACAGACAGAACAGTAGGACGGTGTGAATCCTGACACGTAAGACCTCAGCTACAAGTTTTACTTCAGTGGTTTGATGGGTTAGTGTGATCCTCAGAGATGTGTTAAGACACAGCAGAAAGACACGAAGCAGAAACTGTGATAGGCTATAAACAGTAAAATAGCAAACAGGAGAAATGTAAACAAAAATAAGAGAAGGGGACTGAAAGTGCGAAAGAGCTTTGAAGTGGTGCAAAGAAAGGACTTGGACTGAACTGAATCTGTGAGTGTCCTGAGTGATGAGGGTTACTCATGGCTCACGATGGTGGGTGTGGGCAGGTAGTGTTTGTTAACAGTCTGACTGGTCCAGGTGAAGAAGCTGGTTGGGGCGATCGTGGCTCAAGAGTTGGGAGTTCGCCTTGTAATCGGAAGGTTGCCGGTTCGAACCCGGCTTGGACAGTCTCGGTCGTTGTGTCCTTGGGCAAGACACTTCACCCGTTGCCTACTGGTGGTGGTCAGAGGGCGGCAGGGCGGCAGTGTCCGGCAGCCTCGCCTCTGTCAGTGCGCCCCAGGGTGGCTGTGGCTACATGTAGCTGCCATCACCAGTGTGTGAATGTGTAGATGAACGTGTGGATGACTGGATGTGTAAAGCGCTTTGGCACTAGTAAAGCTATACAGATACAGGCCATTTGAGTCTGGAGGTGTGCGACCTGACTGACCTGAGACACCGACCAGAGAATTGATTCTCAGCAAACAACAGGACAGAAACCCTCAGACCACAACGTTCAGGAAGCAAGAGAAGAAGACGAGGACGTAAAGACAGACGGCAGACAGAGCAGGAGTCAGAGCGCTTTACTTGAAGAGATCTTTGGAGCCGGGAAGCTGGGGTTGGACCTGGACAGCCACTGAATGATGGCATTCTTCTGGTCACCTGCAGGGAGAGCAGCAGCACTGTAATTCCCAGCATCCATCCTTTTCCTCATTGCAACAAATGTATGGTACATGACTGGTCAGTGCCTACCACCGCAGGGCGGAGCCAGGCAGGTGCGTGTCGTGATTGGCCGAGGCTCGCTGCAGTTTCCAGCTGAACTCTCGGGATTGGAGCACGCGACCTGACGCTCCTGAGTCCCGTTCCCACACGAGACCGAACACTGCGTACACAGAGGGATCGATCAGACTGATCAGGTATTGATCTGTGGACATGTGCAACTCCTGATAAACTGATCTTCATACCGGAGTCCAGGGCCCGGCTCTCCACACAGCGGGGCAGGGGAAGCGGTTACAGGGTTGTTTAGTCTCTGGTCGGTCATCGCCGCAGAGCCTGCTATGCACAGAGCGCCGCTGCTGCCCCCTGGAGGAGTTCTGCAGGCAGCTCACCCAGCGACGCTGCCACCCAGTCTGACCACAGGAGGAGCTGCAGTCCTCCCAGTCTCCGGTCACCCAGCTGAGGGGAAGACATGCATCAAAAGAAGAAAAATGACTGGGTGACTGTGGGTGTGTCACGTGACCTGTAGCATGTTACCGTGCCGGGCTGCAGGCCTCGGGGTTACAGCTGCGACTGATGGCTCTCGGTTTGCTGATATTGGAGCAGAACATCCTCTGAACCATTTTCCCATCAGCCTTCCTCCTGCAGCCGAACCTGGTGTACTGTTTTCCTGAAAACAAGGAAACATGACAGTCAGTGGTGGTCCTAGGCTGTTTGGCGCCCCGGGCGAACACTCCCTCTGCCCCCCCCCCCCCCCCCCCACACACACACATGCATAAAACATATTAAAGATTGTACATTAACAAAAAACTGTTGTCGAAATTCACCAGAGAAACACACACATGAAGAGAGGGAGAGTATGCATAGTATGCAAACAGCTGCCAAACAGCCATCATAATTCATCACACAATGAGAACAGGACAAATCAACAACTGACAATTAATATTAAAATCTGTAACATATTGTTTGGAGTTTAGTCTGTTACTGTTGCTATTTTTACCATTTCTTCTTGGAGCAACTGTAACCCACATAATTTCCTCAGGGATTAATAAAGTGTTCTGATTGGTTCAGGATGACCTGCCATTATCCAATCACACATCTGCTTACCTGCATCTGTTGCTCGTTTCTCCTCCTCTTTTCTCTTTTTTCTAAACTGAGCACCTGATGGCTTTGAACTTTTCTTGTCCATCTTCCACTGGTTTTAATTTTGCACTCCAGTATGAACACAAATCCCCCAACGAGGATCACCACAACATAACCTAACACACCTACACCTTAGTTCATAGATTCACTTTGTCTAAGGTTTATTTCTGGGATTTCACACAACCCAGGATTCAAATCATGAATCCATGATGGGCTTGGATTTACAACATTATGAATGAAATGTGCTCTATTTGGAAGCAGCAGGCCCCTCCCCTTTCCACGGGTTGTGTGTGAGACTTTAAATCATCAAACTGTAAATTATAAATTTTCAATTGTTATTGATCCTTTACCCCGAGTCCTAAAGTGTATATTTATTTTCTTACTCTTCTTATATTTATTGTTTGTTTACTTGCACTGCTGTAACTGGAGCCTCGTCGTCTTGTCTCTCTACTGGACTGTCTGTAGCGGAGATGACAATAAAGTTTACTTTGAATTCAGCAGCGCGCAGGCGCACCGAGCAAATGATAAGTCTGTATCATGATGTCTGGTGTTTTCCTGTTTGTTGTTTTGTTTTTATTTTGTTTTATTTTGCGAGTTGGTTATTAGATTTTTTTTTTTTTTTTTTTAAATTGTTTTTTAACTTTATTGCTATGTCTGGTTTTATTACTATGTGCATATTAGTATTGTACAGCACTTTGGTCTACCAGGTGTGTTTTTAAAGTGCTATATAAATAAATAAATGATGATGATGATGATTAGATGCTGCTCCAGCCAGCCTGAGAATCCCCCGCCGCCCGCCCTCTCCTTCCTGTGCTGCAAGCAGCAGGCGCACCTCGCAAGCGGAGGGCGCCCTTACTCCCAGCAAATGGGCGGCAGGAAACCGATTGGTGCCTGTCACTACCCGATCCGTACCGGAAACCCGATCGGTACCTTGCATGCGCAAATCTTACGTCACTTCCTCTCTTTGCCAACATTGCGACATTCAATATATTTGAATGATACGGTTAGCGCCCAGTTAGCTCCTAGCATTTCTCAACAGCTCTGCCTCCTTTTCGACTGCCCGGGACATTTAAACAATGGATAATCCGTATACAAAGAAATTCATGCTTTTCTCCTCAACAGAGAGCGTCCCCCGATTGAGCAACAGCGCCGTAAAATAAGAAGAATGGCGCCTAATTACAGAGTTAATAATACAGACTTTATAATATCTCACGTGTAGATTCATCAGCCAGATGAAGTGTTTACTGACAATTGACAGTGATGGCGCACATCATCATCACTATTCCAACCAATCCTCTCCTCACAGACAAGCATAAACACACTCGACTATCACTAAATCAAATTTAACACACGTTTGTAATGACGCTAATTCAGTTTACAATAGGGGTCATTCGCTCGGTCAGCAGGTGGCGGTATCCTCGTACACAGGGGAGTAAACTGCCATTAAACGAACAGAAGAAGAAGAAAACCCCTGCACATACACGGTACGGATCGGGAGTCCTGATCCGTAACTATCTTTTTATTTTTCGTTTTTGTCTACATTATATTGAAATGTTTCATCATTTAAGATATACTTGTTATTCTTAACATCTTAACAGATACTCTGACCTGTAACTATCGTAAAACGCTTCGACCGGAAGTAGACACCTTTGGCGCATGCGGAGTACCGATCAGGTTTCCGGTACGGATCGGGTAGTGACAGGGCCTGTGACATTCCCAGTATGTGCTGGCTGATGTCGGGGCAGCATGAGTACGAGCAATTTATTTATTTTTTGCCGATGCCCGTGATGCCGCCCCCCACCAAGATGCCGCCCCGAGCAACCGCCCATGTCGCCCGTATCAAAAACCGCTACTGATGACAGTTAACTGAAGTACGCCACAGCTGTTAGCCGTTAGCTGTAAGCTATTAGCTGTTAGCTGAGCTGTGTACCTCAGAGACAAGAGAGCCGATTCATGACACTGAGATATCTTAGGCTTGGCTCATACTGGCAGGAAGGCCTGGACCTACATCAGCAGTTGGTCCAGTTGAGTAGCCCATGTAGTTAAAACAATGGGAGGCACACACATTTCACCTCTGACGACAGACTCAGACCTTTGACCTTTAAAGGGGAATGCTGGGAAATCACACGGAGTACCATTTTTTCTGGTGTAGTCAGGAAGTCTGTAAAGCGTAACAGATATCCGGACTTCTTGGCTGTTAGTAAAATAAATCTTGTTCTTTGCTCACAGATTATAGATATGTAGAAACATGTTTATAGAGGAATGTGCCTCAGTGAGCAGGAAAGAACTGAACTCAAGGCCTAAAATCATTATTTATCCCTCTTTCTGCAAAAAAGTCCAAGTATTCCCAAATTAAGACGACATAATAAGGCAGAACAGAAGAGCTGGGCTGACTCAGAGAAGGTGTAGAAGATGGATGATGGAGTATCGAGGAGTTGAAGTTCTAATGCTTGGAGATTCTCAGGTACCTCCTCCACAGGGTTTGGAGCAGTGCGACCACTTCTTCAGGGCCCACTCGTAGAAGATGGCGTCCTCCTGCACCAAGTTGGACTCCAGCGAGGACCGCAGGCGATCCTGGATGATGTACTTATAGGACACCGTCACCTTTGAGTCGCCATGAGAACGGA